AGCTGTTGTTCACCACCTTAGCTGTAGAGGGCAGCATCACTGGCCCTCATGTGGGATCTAAACCGGGGCCCAGCTGCTCAGAGCTGGCGTCCCAAGCCAACTCCTAACCAACGCGCCACTCGGCCAGCCCAAAAGGTCATTTTTAAAAATTGTTTATTTCAACATAAATAATTTTCTATTATCCATGTGAACAGAAAGAATCACATGGAAGAGATCATCCAAAACAGCAAATCTAGAAGTTGCTCCTATTTATTTCAGAAATATGTCATTTAATTTTCTTTTTGTGTGCTTCAATTTACTTTCCTAACTAAGTTTTATTTAGGCAAATATTATACTATTATTTTGACCTTCCTGAGCCCTCACCAAGTGCTAGGAGGAAGTTAACCCAGAAATGTGTTAGTGGAAGATAATGTGGGGAAAATACCACTAAATATCACCCATCTTGAATGAGGAAAAATGGCAAACCAAATATCTCCCTTCCTGCCCCAAATCTCTCAAAATGAAAAAAAAAATGTGTATATTAAAAGAAAACTAAATCCATAAGGGATGAAAGTGATGAAATATAGTTCCATAATATCAAGGATGCTCTCAGCTCTGACCCAAAAGGACCTCGAATAAGTCACATGAAGTTCTGGTTCTTAGCACATACTTGTATAGTTAAACACAAATTCACTTATTCCAAAAGCTGATCCATAGAATACAAGGCACCACAAAAGGTAACGTCACCTGTTTTCTCACCCAGAGTCCTGAGAGCAGAAGGAAGTGTTCCTACTAAGACCTGAAAGCAGCTCACAAAATTGCAATAATAAAACTATCTTTGAAAGATGAATCACTTCACAATTTTCCTTTTTTCTACCTGAAGATTCTCTAACTAAACTGATGGAGTAACGATCTATTGAGATCGATCTATTATAAATGTATTTATAAACAGCCAAGTGGCCAGTGTTTTGGGCTGACAGTCAAAAGCCAGTCATCCTAGATCAAGGTATGCACTCTGTTTCATCCCTCCCCCACTTTCTTTTTAAGTTCAGGGAATTGAACTGAGTAGCCATCTGGTGATAGGTAGGTAGGTAGGTAGGTAGATAGATAGATAGAAAGAAAAATAGATAACAGGTAGATAGATAGATAATAGTAGATAAATAATAGATGATAGATAATAGATAGACAGATAGATAGATAGATACATAGATAGATAGAAGATAGATTTAAAACACACATGTGAAAACTTGAATTAGGTATCATGAAAGGCAGAGACAGCTGAACTACTACTATCTTTTTACCTAAAGCAACTATGGCTTGCAAAACAATTATATGAAAAAGTACTCTTTTCCAACTTTTAGTTAAAAAAACAGATAACTGGGCTTACAATAAGTATATACCAAGGTGCTAACACTTTAGCTAATAAAATCACCCCAATAGTGTAGAATTGAACAAGGACATATGTATGTTTGTGAATATATTACACATGGTGGCTCATATATCATGCAATTATTTATACTGGAAAACAAAGAAACTCTGACCAGATAGGATCTGTACCTTTTCCAGGATAGCATTGCCTTGGTGGGGACTGATGTTGTGCTGGTTTATTTCTCTCTTGTATTCATATTCATAAACTTGGTCAGTGATATTAATCAGCAGAGTTGATGGACTAAAGGCCAGTTTTCCACAGTGATACACAGTTCCACTTTCAATATCAGTTGGTGCCGTTGCATATCGTAAGATTAATCCCATTATGAGGCCTAAAATAAAGAATACATAATTTCACTGGAGGAACACAATCTAAAATTTTCACTATTGGATGCTTTTTTTATATATGTGATTTGGAACTTGTAGAAGTGTCAGAAAAAAGAATTGTCATTGCCCAGTTTAGATTGTTCACTCTTTCATAGACACACCAGTTCAATAGATTGCATTCTTTAAATATTTGTGATGAAAACTATTGCTTAAATATCCAGCATATATTCCCCCCTCATTTTTCTTCCTAATGGACCCATATATTTTTGAGAGAAGAGCTACCTGCCTCTTCTATCCAACCATGTGCTTTAAGTAAACCATTGCTCTGTGACAGATACTGAGTAATATAATCACATAGGAGATGGAACTCCCCTGGGGAAAGTTTCTGCCCACAGATCAGCATATACCTAAGACAGTCCCATCAGACCAAAAGGAATCATATATTCACCATGGTTGGGGGAGAGGTGTTTTTCTTCACTCCCTCAGGACATGACCAATGCAACATATTTCTCCTTTTTTTTCTTTTTTTTTTTTTTGCTGGCAGGTATCTTGTGACCTTGAGGGATATAGTCCAAGGACACAGTCAATATACTTAGGATGGTGGGACTGAGATACAGGCAGAACCCAGGTCCTAGATGACTTCACTGAGCCACTGGATCAACCTACCCTGAAGCTACCCTAATTCTAGACTTCTCGCTTTGGACATAATACATTTCTAATTTTTTAAACAATTTTGAATCAAGTTTCAGCTTAACCATAGCCAAATGCATTCTAATGACATAGCATTTTTTATAGTGTAGAGTGGAACCCAAGTAATAATCATTGACTTTTAAATTTATAAACTCTTAGGATGCTCATGGTAATCTGATAACTATGAACTCTTAATATTATTGATTTATTATCAAAAGCAAAGAAACTTCAGAGGCCTACATATTCAATTTAAAATTAGGATTAATTTATGTGCTTTAAGATAAATCCACTATTTTAAGATAAAGTTCATTCTTTAAAACATCAAATGTTGGAAGTCTTACCACTCTCTGTGAATCCAGTCATCTAATAACCATTCATTTATTTAATAATACATTTGTTGGGTATGTAGTTTGTGCCATACATTTATAGATTTGAAATAAAAATACAGTCCCAGTCCTATAGGAGCTGCAGTTTATAAAAGAGACCCATAAGCAAACGATATAACACAATGTGACATGTGTTATGACAGTTGATAAGCACTCTGTGGTATATGAGTACAGAGAGGAGACACTCCAAAGCCCTTTGAATGATGAAGCTGTAGATGAATCTCAAAAGGTCACATACGATTTGTCCAGAGGAGCTGAATCAAGGAATGAGCTGGGACCCAGGCTGCACACGTGGGCAGTGGCATGTGAGTGACAGGAGAGGCAGCGAAAAGTTCCCCAGATTTATGTTCACCAATGTGTGAAATAGCTGCTGCGAAATGACCACTCACCCAGAGACTGTTTCCTGGCTGTTGTGCATCTGGGTGGGCTCTCAACAATGGAATTTAAGTAAAAGTGATATGTGTCACTTTCAGGCCACAACACTGAAGAAGTAGGTAGGTTTTCTCCCTTCTCTTCCACATTCATCAGATGGATGGGGAGGGAACAAAGGAGCCTGCCCTGAGGCACCGGGTGGGGGAAAGGCTGTCTATCAACCAGGAATACCTGCATGGGACTACTAACATGAGTGAAAGGTAACTTTTGTTGTACTGAAAAGGTGACTTTTGTCACTGAAATGTTAGTGTTTCTGTGTTAACACTCACAAGGATAACCTAACTAATGTAATGTATAAATACACAAAGACTTAAAAAATCTAGTCAATTTAGGGAGTCAACAGTGGGGCAAGGAGAGAAGAAAAGGAGACAGAGATGGAGACAGAGATAAAGATAGAGGTAGAGAGAGGCAGAGGTACAGACAGAGACAGAGAGAGAGAGAGAGACAGAGACAGAGAGAGAGAGATGAAAGAGAGAGAGACAGAGAGAGAGACAGAGAGATATGAGAGAGAGAGGAGAGAGAGAGAGAGAGAGAGAGAGAGACAGAGACAGAGACAGAGAGAGACAGAGAGAGAGAGACAGAGAGAGAGAGGGAGGGAACTCTAGACAGCAGAACATAGGTGAGGGCCAGGTCATACAGAGGCTCCTCTGCTATGCTAAGAAGTTTTTAGTTTTAACCCAATGACAATGTAGAACTATTGAAAGATTTTAGGCAGAAGAATAAAACAATCAGATTTTCATATAAGACCTATCAGTTTGGCAATGAATTAGAGTAAGAGGTAGGAAGGAAAACAGATTTCTTTCAAGACTATTTTACCTTATTTATTCTTCAATGTTTGGCCTACTCCTTTATAATAGTGAGAGATGCTGTATCCTGACCTTTGTTATCAAGAGAAAGCAAGTGGTGGGTATATAACCACCATGACAGCTTGATCGGCCAGACAACAGTGGACAGCCTTCCATGTATGCTGTAAAACGACTACAATTAAACTAGTCAGGAAAGAGAGACATATCGTCTACACTGAAAGTCGTTTAGGGCGCCTGTGTAGGAACATCGCTTCTTCAATGCTCTATGAAGGATTCATTTGTCTAAAAGTGGTTTGGCAGGTACTATAAACGATGCTATGACTTCTGCTTTCTACTCAAGTGGGATATAAAGCACAAGATACTGTCTTCATGGGGACTGAACAGAAAGAACCTGTATTAATACCAGTGCCCCAGAGGGTAAGCCACTTATTTTTGCAATATGCTTTCAATGCAATAACAAGAAGTAAATATGAAGTGTCCACTGGTTGTTTTTTTTTTTTTCCCCAAGCAGTGAAAACAAGTATTTGTCATAATAATGAGTACCTAGTAGCTGGGCCCCTGTGGTGAAATCCATACAAGCCTCAAAACCTAAATGGCACTGCTCTATCCTCTGCACCAGCTCTAGTCCCAGGCTTCCAGAAAAGGCACTCTGGAGTAAATGAAGTAAGCTGCTTGCTGCCAGAGGTGACCTGATGTAACAGCCATGAAAATGCACCTCTCAGACAGACCTTCCATGAGGAGGGGTGAAGTTGATCGTGGTCTCAGGTTCTGTGATATGGAGTCCACGACCACATTCACACTGAGGTCAGCCAAAGACTGACCAGGGGTGTGGACAGGGAGATGGAACTCCTTGGAAGGCCACCAAGGCTCAAGGACACCCAATTAAGACAGGTTAGCTAGTGTAACAATTAGGCAGTTAGAAATTCCCCGGTAAAATGAGCAACAAATAAAAATATCATCAAAGCCTCAGCCTTAAAAGTCCCAACTTTAAGATAACACTCTCCTGCAAGAACAGAATAATCAATTATGCTCCAGGAGAAGCCTCAGTCTTGGCCTTGAGAGCCCAGCCTGGAGATAACACACCTACCTGCTGGAGCAAAAGCACTAATTATGCTCTGGGACAACTAAGTTGTTTAGAGAAGCCCTCTCCAGGCTACATAAATCTGTACTAATAGACACCAGTTTTCTCTCCAGATAGGCTAGGAAAAGCATATAAATAGAAGCCTCCCCCCTAGTTAGGGGGCATTCCAACTTTCTGGGTGCCCTCTTTCTTTCAGAGTGCTGTGCGCCTCTTTGCTCTTATAAACTGTTCTTTTCTGCAACTTTGCCTCTCTGATCTGTGTCTCCATTCTTCGGTGCTGTGAGACCAAAATCCCAGTCACACGCAAATCATCCTGCATCACAATCAGCCTTGCCAGACCTCCCGTAGAACTAACTGCACCCAGCGTACACCTTCCCCCGGCCAGCCTTCCTTCCTTCCCTCTCTCCACAGGCTCAGGGCTGGACCCAAGTCTGACAGCTGCCCCACATGCATTGCAGGCTCCTCACCCACTTTCCCTCAAAGGAGTTTCCCCCAAGGAATTTTGTGCACAGCTAATCTCTTCCCAGTGTCTGCTTCTCAGAGAACACAAATTAACACACCAGACAAACCGCTCTGACTCTGCTTCTCCCAACCCCAAGGGCTGAGAGGACATCCTTGGCAGCGTGTAAGGGCTAGTGGGGGAAGCAGAGCCTCAGTGTGCTCATGTAACAAACACACGCTCCCACTGTGTGCCCCCGCTGCAGTAGCAGCACTTGGAAAATCCTTAATGCCAGAGGCCAGACACTTACCCATAATGCTTTTAACAGCCACCCATCCACTCAGTGCTTTAGCCACAGGTGACACACACAGGAAGTGTTGGGTTAACCTGCTCCTTTACAGTATTGTATGAAAGCAGGTGACAGATAAAGCAGCATTGCTAGTAGGAAGAAAATCCTAAATAAAGCAGAGTTGTTTTTTGACCCATACAAATCCACAGGATAAAGAGCACCAACCATTTGTGCACAGAAGAAGGAAGGACGAGGCTGGCTGCCGGCTTACGGACACACACCACCACTCTCACTGGTGAATCAGCAATCAGGAACCTACCCACTCAGGGGAAAAGAAGGAAGCCTGCCCCACAAAGCAGTG